AGAGAGGTTTGAGTTCCAATCTACTGATACTCCAGTTGGCTACTTTCCTGAAATAGAGGAAAGAATTGATACCAGTGTATCCTCTTCTATACCCAGTACTGCCACTCAATTCATTGAGACAGGTAACTTGGCTTCATAAACCTGTTCCAAGGCCAGACGGCACTCGTACGGATGTGACAATTTTGAGAAGGGGTCTAATCAAAGACTACGATCACCAAATGATGTAGAAAGGTATTGCACTGAACATAATATTCAGTATGATCCTACCTTGTTTGATTTCAAGGGAAGCAATACTTATAGTGGTGAAATCGACCCAACTGGTAATCCTTCAACGTCGTATACCCGAGATAGCTGACTAGAGGTTTCAATTCCAAACACTTATAACCAGTCAATGAAATTCACAGAAAAGGATAAATGGATAGAGGCGATGGAAGAGGAAATGGCCAACATGCGAAAACATAAGGTATGGCATCTTGTTCCACTTGCTAAAGACAAGTCTCCACTAGGTTGTAGGTGGATCTTCAACATTAAACGTGACGAATTTGGAAACATTGTTCGTTTTAATGCTCGTTTGGTGGCTCAGGGTTATCGGCAAATTAAATACGATTCCTATGATGAAACCTACTCTTCTGTAGTCAACTTTTTAGTAATAATATTTAGTAATAATAATTATTACTTTTTAGTAATAATAATTTTAATTCTTTTTCTCTCTCCTAGTTGCACACCTTGGATGGGCAAATATAGAGTGCGACGTAAAAAGTGCCTATCTCTACGCTCCTTATCAGAGGAAATTTACATGTCCAAACCGCAGGTTTTGTGGAGCAAGATAAAGAAACTTTTGTGTGTCGTTTAGATAGGGCCTTGTATGGTCTGCATCAGAGGGGGCGATTATGGTACTACGAGTTAGAACACTATGTAACCTAGGGTTTACCAAGTTTGATTAGTGTAATTGTGTCTATAGATTTAAAGATTTTGTCATTCTGTTGGTTTATGTTGATGACATTGTTGTGTTCGGAAAAGTGAAGTTCAGGCTAAAAGAATATTAAAAGTTCTAAGTTCACATTTTGATTTGAAAGTTTTGGGTAAAACAAGAAAACTCTTAGGTGTAGAATTTGAACACGAGAACAATAGTGTCCTAATTCATCATCATTTATATATAGAAGACATAGTTAACTGGTTCAAGTTTTTAAAATACAAATTACCTCCCTCCAATAGTTAAAGGTGTGAAATACTCAAAGTCAAAGAGAAATAGTCAAAGTCAAAGACTCAAAGAGAATATGATAATGATCAATTCAGGTCATATTGTAATAAAAATGGTGTAAAGCACGAATTTACAGATGTCTACACTCCAGAATAGAATGGAGTTTGTGAGAGATTTAATCAGACAGCTCTCAATAATGTACGTGCAATCTTACACGATAGTGGAATGAGTTCCGAATTTTGGTCAGATGCAGTAATGGATTTTGCATATTCATTTAATAGAATCTGTCATAAGGGCCAAGATGAACCCCATTCGAATTATACACTAAGCGGAAGCCATCAGTACGTCATCTTAAGGCATTTGGAACGATTGCCTATGTGGGAATTCCAAAGGCTAAAAGAAATTCTAAACTTGATCCAAAGGCAACGAAGGTCAGTACACAAGAAGAAACAAATGAAATGATGAATTATCCTTATAGAAATGTTTTGGGATGTCTCTCGTTTCTTTGCAACCATACTCGTCCGGATATAGCTTATGCTGTTAATATATTTTCTCAGTTCCAAAGCAATCCTGGTAAGTTTCACTGGGAAGGATTACTTAAACTTTAGGGTACGTTTCCAAAACCAGACAGCACAAATTTAAACTGGTATGCAAGGAACTGAAGCTGAATATATTCAGATTCGGATTTTGCTTCAAGCAGGGATGATATGGTGTCTATTAGTGGACAAATAGCTTTTTTGGGAGAATCACCTGCATCTTGGCATACTTTTAAAGAAAGGGGAGTGAGTTTGTCTACTATGGAGGCTGAATTTACTTCCATGACTGAATCAGCAAAAGAACTGGTTTGGTTTAAAAACATTTTGGATGAATGCATTCAGTTTACGATTGCAAAGTAACTATGTTTCGAAAGGCCAATATTGTTTGCTGAATAACATGGCTGCTATAAGTTTTACAAAATCACCCATTGAAAACTCAAGGACAAAACATATAGATGTGAAAGTTATTTTTCATTCGTGATCTATTGAACAGGAAAATTTTTGATTTAAAATATGTTCCCAAGCAAAGATAATCTGGCTGATCCCATGACAAAATCACTGACTAAACATAACTTAATAAGATTTTGTGGAACAATTTTCTTATGAAATTTGTTTTTGTGTGTATTTAAATTAAGAGTTTTGTTTATATTTGAACTGTACTGATATGAAAATAATATGTTGTAAGTCATATTATGATGGATATTAGGTAAATGTAAAACTGTACAGTGTAGAATGTTGTATGAGTGACCAGGGCCCTGGGTAAAATGTATTGAGTGTATGATCATACATATGTGTCTTTGTATTGTTTTGTAACATGTTTGGACTTTCTTGCTATGGTAAAATTTTTGAATAATTGGGATAAGATGTTCCCAAAGAAAAATTTTTCCTTAAAAATTTCTGAATTGAATGAAATTGTGATATTCATTTATTCTTGTTTTGAATTTTGTAAAGATACTGGCATTCGGTTTTTATTTCAGGTCGGAGATGATGATGTGGGGGGCATTTGTTGGAAAATATAGCTTATTTTTAAACCTTTTACTGCATCATCTCTCCTCCTTGAAATGTTTATTTAGTTTAGTCCTTATTTTAATGTAATATAGTAGTTACTTCTACTTCTTTTTCTTGCTGCCACTATTTTCATTGAGAACGGACTGTTTCAATCTAATTGAGATGCAAAAACGAAACATGATGTTACGTCATCTGAAAAGTTGATTCGTGCCGATAGGTGATTGGTTGTCGTGAGATGACGTCATTCCTACTTCTGCTATAAGTATCTCGCGTCGCTCTGGCTCAACCCTTCTAGTTCCTGCTTTCCTGGCACTTGAGTGAGCGGTTTCCAGCCCCTTCAGAAGGATGCATGCAGTCCAGTGAATAAAGTGCCTTGGTTCCGGTTTGCGGGATGGCTGTTCCAGAATAAAGTTCCTTGGTTCCAGAGGCTACCATGTGAGTGACTGCCGTGGGCGGCATCCATGTTCTTCAATAAAGGCGGCAATTAAAAATACGTGAGCGGCGATTCCTTGTGCAAACGGAGTTAGGCCGGTTTTAAGTGTTTTCAAGAACTTGATTTAAATTTCAGGTGTTTTCTTGACCATTGATATGGGACTTATTGAATGTGTAGCCAGCTTCAATTTTAGGCCGACATAATTACTGTTTAGGACTTTTTGTTGTATAGAATGCCAGTGTTTTGGAGACCAGGTAAAAAATATTGTTGATGAATGATGATTATATTATATTTTCCTAAGACTTCTGATATTGTTGACATTTATTTTCTGTGTTTTATTCTTATTATATTGTTAATAAATTGGTTAAGTTCAAAATCTTTTATTGTCTTCAATGTCTGCACAACATATCTCAGGGAGCTTTTATTGCTACTACTGCTAAATGTTTAATTTCTTTAAACTTTAAACTTTGCTTTAGCATCACATGTCATTTTGCTTTCGAGAAAATTCCAGAAATTTCTCACGCGTGATTTAAAATCTTATAAAAAGGAAGAAAAACCTCTCAGTTCAGTAGTTAGTTTTGTTGTTGTTTTAAGAATTTGCTTAGAAAACTGCTCTTGTTGACTGATGCGAATTCGCAGATTAGATTTCTTTAGCTGTTTTGAATTAAACTCTCTTGAACGTTTGAGTAGTTAAAAGATAACCATCGTGAGATATTGTAATATTGCATGAATATCTGAGGAAATTTAAGCATTTTGTTGTGATAATAATAATTTTCTTCATTTTTCATCGGACTTGTGCAATCATTTCATAACGAACCCATATGCACACAACAATATTGTTAAATAAAATTACACTGAATATGAAAGCCAATATCAATGTCCACAGGCTCAGAAAAATGTCTTTAGGCATACTTTGCATAAAATACCATTGAAACTTCCACTAATCTTCCAGGTTTTACCATGTATAGATTTATGTTAGTTACCATTCACACATTTTCACGTACCTAGATTTTATTAAATCTGAAAGAGCTATTTCCAATCCTTGTGAATTTTCTATATACTAAGTAGAAAATCTTTTATGTTAGGTATTGAAATTAGAGCAGGAGACTTATAAATGTTCAATGATGTATAGCTAACATGTAGACAATGCCAATTAGAATATAAACCAAACCAACTAGAAGTCTGCTTATGGCAGAGGTTATGATAAGTTAAGATGTCATACCATGACTTTCATGGCTTCATTTTCATTGCATGGGATATATGTGGGGCTTACTCTATTTCTAACCTTCTTATATGTTCCTTAGAAGGCAAGAGCTTAAAATTAGAACAACATACAAGATGATTCAAAGCTACTGTGAATAATGTTGTTTTTCAAAAAAGAAATCTCAGCTGAAATCTTATTTATGGCACATTTGCACTTTCTTAAGTATCATATTCTGTTCCTAAACAGTGCATAAAAAAGTTTTTAAGAGAGGATTGGATAATAATTCCAGCTGTTGAATGCGCAGATTTCAGACTTTACACCCTGTAACACAGAAACAAAGAAGAAATCATTTATGAACACTAGGCAAAGAATATGCATTTCTTGGAGTTTATAAGTAACATAAGTTCTGAGCTCTGTTAAGTCTTACATAAGTAATTAAAGGGAATTATCTGCAATCTAGTTCTGTCTACTCAGTATGAAACAGTTTGGCCTTGTCTCTTCCCAGTTACCATGTCTTGGAATGGGTCATATGAGTTATATAAATATAAACTTCATGAGAAAGGTCACAGTAATTAATGAAATATTGAAAATAATCACGAGAAAGTGTGATGAATATGAATTATTCAAGTCTCATTATATAAATTTCAGCAGAATTAGAATAAATGTAAAATAATAAAACCTTTTTTTTCTTTTCTTTTCTGTTCTTTCTTCCATTTTCCTTCTATTTTCCTCTAACTTTTTGCGATATTCTTCATCGAGTCTTTCCTACAACAAAATCCTAGTTTGTGATTAAACACAGAAATTTGAAAAATGGTTTAAATAACATGCCTGGAAATTCTTTGATTAATGGAAAAAGCAATAAGGCTTATATTGCTCAAATCAAACATGCAGAACCATGATACAGGGTTAACATAGACATTATTAGCACATGTTGTTATTCCTTTAAAACCTTTTTCTTTTGCTAGTATCTTAATTGATGATAGCTTAGTAACAAAGTCTACCCAGCCTCATTAAAGAATGAATTAACTGTTAGGTACACTGAAAGTTGGAGAAAAAATTCAGGTAGATTACAAGCAGTGATTGAGGAGTTTATTGAAACAAAATTTTTAGGCTACCAAACTAGGTGGTTTATCAACTGAAAGAATTACTGATAGTGAGAGAAGACAGACAAATTAATGCCAATTCAAGACTCACACATCCTTTATAGTTATAATACACACTGTTCTAATAAAACTTTGGCATTTTCAGCCTATGCATCTGCTGATCAGTGACTTGATTCTTTTATAGTATGTCATTATCCTGCATGTCTAATATATCATGAATCCATTTCCAGCTTAATAAAATGTCACCATTTGTATGGAGAGGAAAAGACAAAATGAACATTTTTCTTATTCTAGAAAATCTTCTGTACAATAGATATAAACTTATGGTTAAGGGGTATTTCTTCATGAACAGACATACAGATATAAAGAACACCAGGAATAATATTTTGAAGAGCTAAATATGCCTAACTGTATAGGAATGAAATTTTGAGGGGCCAATAACAATTCCTTATACTGCAAAATGCAATAATTTTTCAAAATAAAATTGGTTTTATAACCTTAAGTACAGTTTGCAAATGGCATTCTTTCTGAGAAGGAGTTTTGGTCCACAGACTAGCCTGTATCTGGGTTGCTCAAACAGATAAGAAAAATTTCAAGATGAATCCACTTTATGTAATTGAATCTTACCATCTACTTTTGGGGATTCTTCAGACACAAAATACTTTAACATGAAAAAAGCAACGAATTTCATATGAGCTTGCAAACATAAATTATCAATTTCAGCCTAAGCCATGTAGGTAGGCCATATTACTAGCATATATATTAAAAAATCCTGCAGCTAAGAAACATTTCTGCCTATGATTAGTTAGCAACCCTGGCATCTTAACTTTTGAGAATATGATAGAATTTCACCAGGAAAAACAAGATAAAAGAAGAAAGGCATAACAGTAATAATAACAAATACTAGAATCCTGTAGAAAAATATTCTTTATACCTGTAAAAATGTTAAATGATTGGATTAAGCTTTTTATTTAATCCTAATTCTGGATTAAAATATTTTCATTTTTAACAGCCTTGAAATCATGTGACATATATGCTAATTTGTCATTTACGTATCATTTCACTTGTATTTTCACTCATATGTTTTCTTTTCACTTGATATTTAAATTTTAAAATTTTCTTGCTTTTCTGTATAACATAAAATTTTATACTTCCACACTGTTTTGAATTACAAATTTATGCTCAGAAGTCAAACATTATGAGATGCATTCTTTCTTCTGCAAAATTAAGTTATTAATGACAACAATAGACTTTATAACAGGACATCCTTGGATGGTTATGTTTTCATATAAAAATTTCAATATTTAAAAAATATATATACTATAAAGAATTCTTTAAAAAATCACCATATTTTAAGTAGAGAAATATGTTGTTACTGCGCTGATTTGAGAAATATTCCAACAGGTTAAAAACTTAAATATAGACATATTTCTATATTGGTTTTTCAATTTTTTTAGTTATTCAAAGACTCAAATTAAGCATGATTATCATGTAAACAGTACGTCAAGAATTATAAATTTATATAAACATCTTTAAACAAAGAATAAGATCTGATATATACTAACTTTTTCACCTTTTTCTTGCAGAAGTTTTTGCCTAGTATATTCTTTTCTTCTTAAATGTCTGTACACGTGAAATTCCCCACTTCCAGCTCCAGCACTTGAGCCTTTTGCACATGAAAGTAAATGAAAATATTTTATGAATATACAGCAAATTTAACTAATAAAATACAAGAAAACATTTCTAAAGTGATTCCCCATGATTTTAGTTTTCACTCACAGTGATCTTACAGAACATGTAAGATGATAATGCTCAATGCAGATGTTATATTTATGTTTTCAGATACACTACTCATTTTCAGAGATGGTCATAATGAAAGGTTTCACTGAAATATTCTTAATAAACAATATTCATTAACAAATAAACAAGATCTGCAACCCACTGGAAAGGCACCAAAAAGCTCTGATGAAGCAACGCATCATGTCATTAAAAAGTATTTTATGTGGCTATGCATGTAGCATTCCTCCAGATGGTTTCCCACTTCTCCAGATATTTTTGCATGCAGATAATAATCCCTCCTCCTATGGGAATTTCAGCATTTTAATAAGCAAGTTTAGCAAGTTTAGGTCTTCAATAAAATCTTGAAATTAGCTTTCGGTATACATACAGCATAATGTGGTTTCCTTAAAGGCATCACATGCCTTTTTTGTCTTCATTTTGAAGTTCTGGTGGCAACAATTTGCACAATGCCAAGTCTGTTTAACCCTATGATGTTCTCTTAAGCAAAAATAGATCACTGAGCACATGGGTAGACAAAGGCGCAAAAAAACAAGAACTGCATGGAAAAAGTGTTCTGCATGGAAAAAGAAGTATAAAAAATAGATGGCACTGGATGCATCTTTGAAATAGACATAAAGATACCTAAACAAAAGTTTCTTACCAAAGTCGGCAGTAAGTTCGGTGATGGTGTAGATAATCAAAAAGTATCACAATACTTAGCATTTTATTTTGAAAGCCATGAAGTGGTTTTTTTTTTGGGGGGGAGGGGTAATTCAAGAATGCATATTCAAATGCTGAAGACCTGATTAGATACAACCAGAAAAAAAATAATTAATTCTTATTTTATTTGTTTATGTTTTATGTTATATTCTTCAGTTGCATAACAAAAGATGAATTTAAAGAAAATCAACATCCTAAGAGTAACATAACATTCATGGCTGTGTAATAGGCTGCTCTGAATAAAATATGGAATTGAATTTTGAAAATCTATAAGTAGCATTATAAGAAATGTTAAATCCTTCTAGAACAGGCCTCAGCAACCTTTTTGGCTGCAGGTCAAAATCAACCATAATGTGTGTATTAAGAAGATGTTACAGGTCAGTGGTATTTTCATTTTAAATTGGTCTTTTTGATGAATAATAAGATAAATTTTATTGAGAAAAATAATTACAATACACTTTCAACTTTATATTAAAAAATAAAAATTATAATTATTATAAAAACAAACATAACTGAATGAACTTTATTTTTCTCTTCAATACTAATGGCTATCCTGATGTTGAACTCATGACATCAATTTAGTCAAGTTTGGCTTCGTTTTCACGTGTGAAAATATTTGCTCGCATTTATAAGTTGAACCGAATGCAGATAAAATGGCAAAGCTCCTTTTTTTTTTTTTTTTTTTTTTTTTTTTTTTTTTTTCCCCACTTATGAACAAGTGCTACAGCTGAGAGTGAACTACAAAAACTGAGATAATGACATTAGTGCTGTCAGATGTCTGTCAAGGAATTATGGATTTGCGTTGCCAAACTTATCAATTTTCCCTTGAAATTGTTACAATTTTTATCTTTTAAAAATAAAAGCATATGTTTGTTACTGCAACTTTGCAATTAAACAAAAATGTTATTGTTATTATTTATTTTCAGTTTATTTGTTTGTATTTTCAAGGTTTTGTTTCATATTTATGTTTTATAATTTATTTTTATACATTATTCTTGATTTTTGGAACTCGCTTGAAATTACAAAATGAGTCACTTAGTGACTTGCAGGTCAATTGTTGCTGAGGCCTGCTCTAGAATATGCAACAGCCTTTTGGAATAGAAATCCTCATCATAAGATTCAACACAAAGTGAATATATTTCTGCATGCATATGTTAAAAGGAACATAATAACCATATTGAAATCATTTTACACATATTATCAACAACCTATCTAATTTACAATTATAAAATGTGTATTATGCTAAACCATAAACTCTATCTAAACCATGTATGAATAAAAAATCTGACAAACATTATTAAATGCATCTGTTAATAAAAAAAATCTTTTGTTCACTTCTAAAATTTGTAGCTTTTGATAATGCTTCTTGCTTTCACACAAACTATATAACTTATGCTGCTCCACTCTCCAAATACAAATACAGTTGGTAAGTTTTACCCTTGCCTACATGGATGACGAAACACGAATTGAATAATTGAAGAGACAGGTTTGGAGGCAACTTTCGCTAGATAAGTCTGTCTCCTGCCTGCTCAACAATTATTCACATATGCATTTTTATAAATTTTTAGGATTAAAAAATTTATTGGAATTATATATTATATATTTATTATATATTCATAGATTTTATTTATTATATATTCATAGATTTATGTACTTGCACTTGATTTACATATGCTCTCAGAATTTATATGATACAGTCAAAAGTCGTTAATCCGGACTCGTCTGGACTGCAGCGATTCCGGATTATCGATTTTTCCGGATTATAGATCATCAGTTTAAATCTGGTAAGATGGCATGCAGAAATTATAAAATTAAAAATATGAAACCGTAATTTATGAAATAAAGAACAATTATGATCTAAAGGGTATCAAAATTTACAAAAAAAAAAAAAAAAAAGCTTAATATTTATTTGTTTACTTTATTAAACATTTCTTTCAATGTAAGTTGTTTAAGTTGCTTCATTTTATGCGATAATACATTCTCTTTAATTCCATAAACAGACATAATTTCTTGTTCAGTTACAAAGTTCCGCTGTTCAAGTCCTATAATTGCTGTGTCGAGAATACCGACTAATTTGTCAATCGAAATTTTTTCGTTTTCAATAACCTCTGTCACTTTCTTCGCTATCGGAAGCGATTTATAATGACGAGGCATTTGATTTAAATCATATCACAGACGGAGTACATCGAGAGGAAATACCACATTTAGTAAGCAATTATAAGCCAAATAAAATAAAAACATCTGCCCTTAAGATAAGGATAGTGTTGACAGATCAACTTTCAATTCATTGCGCTCCGCGGCGTTAAAGATAAACAAAGGATATGTCTTTATCCATTTTTTGCAGCAATTCCACTTTTTATTTAATGGACTCCGAAAGATACTTTCGCTTTGTATATCCTTTACATATTAGTAAATATATATCGGAAATTCTATTTGAAATAATCGAAAGTTCAAGCTTACTTTTATAAAATTGCTCTAACAGTCTGCAAAAAATAATAAGCCGGATCCAATTCGAAGATTAAGGAACAATGTAATCTGCAACATTAACTGAAATAGATAATTAGATAATTTTAGTTTAGCTTATCCCGTCCGTTATACATTAGACGCGCATTCGTAAACGTATTTTGCGCACGCGCAAATTCTCAGCCGTAAAGGTCTTACGCGCATGCGTCAACGAGATGCATGTGCAGAAAGTTTGTAGCTTTGAGGTCCGGATTATAGATCATTCCAGATTATGGGTGTCCGAATTAACGACTTTTGACTGTATTGTAGATTAATTCGCAGCAATAATTAATCATTTATTTGTAATTCAATTTCATTTAAAATTTAAATTTGCTTTTTAAGAATAGAGAATGTTTGTTAACTTATTATATATAATGTCATACTTAACTTGAAGTAAAATTAATCTTCTACAAAGATCTTCTAAAAGAAGCATATACGTAACGTAAATATAGAAAAATAGCTTATAGATACACTGTAGTTCCATTATAACTATGAAAATAATTTATTCTGCTCTTTCATTACATAACATATCTCCTTTTCTTAATGTTAAAATGGTACTTACGTATTAACGCAAACAGGCCAAAATTCGCATAAATCGCCAAATTTGGCGACCCTACTTACGGCAACCCTCCGTGTTATACGTAGTTTTGTAAAAAGAAAAAATAACACTGAGCGTGTACTACCACAGCAATGGGTTTTCGCAGAATTTGCCGAGAAAAGAAAGAGACTTTTTTGGTTACTGTACCTAACAGAAGCGCCGTTACCCTCATGGAAAAAATTTGCGAAAATATCAAGGAAGGAAGCATCGTTTATTCGGATTGCTGGAAAGGATAGAATACAAGTGAGTTTGAAAATGCTGGATTTCTGCATGGAACTGTTAATCACAAATATAACTTTGTGGATCCCAACACAGGCATTCACACACAACATGTAGAGCGCATGTGGGGCTCAGCCAAATGGCGCAACAAAAAACAGAGAGGAACAGCCCGTCATCATCTTCACTCATACCTTATCGAATTTATATGGCGCCAAGCTCAAGCTGTTAATGGCGAAGATGGTTTTCAATCAGTGCTAAAAGCAATAGCCAAAAGATTTCCGCCGAAAAAATAATTCTGCAACTTATTCAAATTCAAAACCGGAAGGGTTTAACTGCTATTTTATATTTTAAAACAAAATAATATAAAAAACTGTATTAAAAATTATCTGTAATTAATAAATGTACATTTTCTTTCTATTCATACTTTTTTACTCAAACTGACAAATCGTGCCAACCTGGTTGCGATAATACGTAAGTACCGTTAAAACATATATATATATATATTCAATCTTTGACATTTACCATAAAAATTCCGATGTGGAAACCACATGACTTCCTTGTACGGCCTATTAAATGAAAAGTGAGGTGGGATTCTATCTTGTTGAAAGAACATTTGCCACTCACTACAATTTTGAATTTGCTTAGTTTGAAAAGTAAAGAGATCTGTTTCCTGGATTCTATCTTGTTGAAAGAACATTTGCCACTCACTAAAATTTTGAATTTGCTTAGTTTGAAAAGTAAAGAGATCTGTTTCCTGGATTCTATCTTGTTGAAAGAACATTTGCCACTCACTACAATTTTGAATTTGTTTAGTTTGAAAATAAAAGAGATCTGTTTCCTATCAAAGTATCCACTGAACTTGATAGTGGTTTAAACAAAGAGGGGGGGAGGATAAGAAATTTACAACTCATTCACCCACACTGGTCACTGACCTCAGAAGAATCTCAAATATGCTCATTTATGGACATTTACAGCCCTAAAGTAAACAAAAGAGCCCACAACCATTTATGTGAAATGTGGTCTTATCTGATAAGGCTATTTTAAAGAAATTTTCTTAACTTTTTAAACTTCGCTGGAGATGAACAATGTATTAACTCGGGCCTGTATTCACTGCATTGTTTTTTATGTATGCAGGATTTTATGTGGTTGTGGTTGAAGAACAATATTGATCTTGGCATAAGATTTGTGAAGACTACAAATACAGAACTGTTCAATTCTTTTAATGTTATTGCCAGATGATATTCAGGTCTATGCTGTTTTTTTTCTCTTTTGCACACTGCCATTTTCTTGAATTATTTGTACATATTTTTTTTGAGTGACTCACTTAAAACTTTGTAGTTTCCCGATACATAACATAAATTGATCATTCAACTAACAGCTTGTCAAGCAGGTATTAACGTGCTGTTTGTAATCTCTCTCTGTTATATTTTTAAGCTCATCTTGAAAAATAGGGCCGACCGTGTAACCCGAATCGCCGACTACAGTTATTTGCTAATGTCTGATCCTTATTTTCGAGCTTGTGTGTACGAGGCCATATTGGAAATAGCGCCGATCCCTTTCCTGGAGGGGGATTGGGTATTGTGAGAGTGGCCATCTGGCAAGAACCCATGGACACCCCTTGCAGCAAACCGGTACTTGAGTACTTTTTACCGAAAAATATCTCGATATGGCAGATAATTCCTCCTTTTTTGCAGTCAATGAATACTATTCAATAATGATGGTTAAATAAGAAGTATGCAAATGCACATGTTCTTAAACAACTGTATGGTATGCAAATTGCAAGGATTATGTTAATTTTATTAACAGTTAAATTTTGAGTTAAACTTCCTTTCCTATTGCTTCGTAATTTCAACTTGCTACTTCCAGCCAGAACGTAGTTTTAGAATCACGTCTGAATTCTAATGAGGAAGAGTGGTATTTAACCAAGTTCTACTGTCTTAGTGAGAGAGATACCAGATATTCTGGCAGCACGCGTCCACCATTTTAGGCTAATCTCTTGTAACCTATTATTATGCTCGGCAGTATTTTAGGCCCTTGATAGCTTTACAGTCAATTAGCATTAAGAGGTCAACTCTGTTAGAATTTTGATAGCTTCGGCTATATCTCTTTAGTTAGTTTAGTTATTTTTATTTTTTTAAGTTCAAGCTCGAGTGTTGGCTTTATTGTACAACTCCAAGACGGAGTTCTGTTAAACCTTATTTGAATAATAAAGGGTCTTTTAACATTTTCCAAGTTTATTTACTGTCTCACGAACTCAAGCGATTATTCGCTTACTAGTTCTTAAGATTCTTCATATCCAACTGTAACTTAGAATTACACAATGGAGAATCCTACAACATGCATGGGCTAGCTATTATCACATGTGCACTCAAGAACACAGCAATTCTATTGCGTGTTAAAACAAGGATAAGGGGACAGATAATCAGAAAGTACTGAAAATTTTATTAGCAGTAATAGTAAAAAATAAGAAAGCTGAAATAAACGGAAGAAAAATTGGTACTGTTCTGTTATTGGGGCCGAAGTCGTCGCCAAATGTTTTGCTAAAGTCGCCAAGAGATTAGTTCATATGAAGTCACCAATGTTTACTTCTAAAGTCGTTACAATATTAACTTTTTTAACAAAAAGTAAAAGAATGTCTTCTCAAAATTGGCAAAGAAAATACAAATTCCAAAGATGTAATGATCACTTGTGTTTTTATTGTATTTTCCATGTGTATGAAAATTTGAACATGCCCAATTACGAAATATCTTCCATACACTTTCCTCAGGAACGAGGTATTATTCAGTTTGAAAAAAGTGCACGAAAAACCGTAAAATGATTCCCCCCCCCTGCCACCGATCTTTGGCAAGTTGTTTAATTCACACTAAAAATTTCCATTTTTACTAATAGTATCTGGTGCTATTTTTTCCCTTGGATTTTTCTTCAACTTTACGATATTTTATTTATTGTCAATTAAATATGAAAGCAATTATTTTTATGCTTCGAATTTTTCACCAGATCATCAAGTTTTGGCAATATCTGAATCTGGACCCCATAACAGAACAATACCAAAAAACTCCATGCAAATAATGTATTGATTTTTAAAAGTTAAGCATATTATTACAGTGAATTCAATCTAACAGGAAAAGTTATGCTGTGACAATAAATTTCACATAAAAATATGCAATACAAGTGAAATACAATAACACAAAAAAAATTAATAGTTAATAAACCAAAATTATGTATTATAAAACAAAATATATTTAGGTAAATTTATATCATTTATTAAAGTATGATAATTTTATCATGCACTTAGAGATATACTATACTGAGGGGGGGGAGATTTCATAGATTCAGGGGGAATGCAGTCAGCATTTCATTTACGCGTTATATATTTAGTTTTGGTTTATAAACACAAAATTTACTTTTATTCAAATGTTGATATTTATAAACATTTTCTACACCTTCTACACATGTATTGCAATGATAGAAAGGCAAACAATATGCAATATTTCTGTCAATATTCACAGCTAAGTTGCCAGAAAAGAAAGCGAAGCAGAACAGTCATTTGGTTCCCATAGGATCATATTAAAAGCTAAAAAGTGATATTTCAGGCACTTTTACCATTTAATTGATCTAGCAGCAATAAATGCTGGGATCTCATACAAAGATGTATCATTAAAAAAATTAAAAAAAAAAAAAAAAAAAAGATACCTAAACTAAAGTTTTGAATCAAGTGTGTTTCAGAACTGAAGGGAGTTTTTGCAAAATGGGAAAATGCAGCACCATCTTCTTGTGCATTTGGACCATCACAGGTGTATGTCAACAATCACAGATATACTATGGTGGAGGTCGAAAAGAGAAGTCGAGTTCAACAGAGGGGCGACTGTCACCAAATCCTTTGCTTTGCTGCGATTGAAGCTATGTAGCATGTATTTGTTATACTCTGGAACACTGCTTGTCAGTCTTATGCTAGGTTTGATGGTATGCGCGACGTTTTCTTATTTTTTTTTTTATCCAATACCATAATTTATGTTGAATAGATACTACAGTGAATCATAAACTTTTTCTTGAAAAGTTAAATGCATTAATTGCGAGAAAATGAGAAGACAAATGTTTTTATTTTTCAAACACATCTCTCCTCACTGGAATTGATTACTCCTTATGAAGCTATGTTTGGCATTAAACCAAGAAGAGGCATAGCATAGTCTTTTTTGCCTTGCGAACAAATCGCAAATATTGAAACTGAAGAACAGCTCTTAAAATATTGCTAATATTTTTGAAACCGAAGAACAGTTTGAAGAAACTGTTAATACTTTTGAAGAAAATCTGAGCAGCGGCCATACTGAAAACCATATTCTTAAGAAAAATATTGAGGAGGACCTGCAAACTACCATGTCTTCGTATCAAGCCTGGACTGAACAACACGAGTTAATTGCTATAAAAAGATCAGTCGCAAAAGAGAATCTTTTACTGCAAGCAACGAAAATTTTATGAATCTAAAAAAAAATTTTCTCCTGCTCAGATTGGTGATACCGTACGAATACAAGTCCCTGATGTAGACCGTGGTCTTACAAATTGTCGAAATGTGTTGGCAGTTGTTGGAATAAGACTCCGGCTTTTATAAACTAGCAAATAAAAATGACACCTTCAAGCAGCTTTATACCCGTAATCAGTTCGTAATTTGTAAAGAAAAGTTACTTTCCGTAGATGAGATTCCTTCTCAATTCAAAATGTCATAAAAGTTTATGTTGTTACAATAAATAAGATTTCAATCACATAATTAAGTTATTTTTTGTATTTTTTTCTTTTCTCATTTAGAATTTATCATTTAAGTTCAAAAGTTTATTTACATGTGCTATTACTTAAGCTTTTTCATATTTTGACATATGCAGTATAAATGCAAAAGTTTAAAAAAAAAAAAAAAATCTTTATTGACTAAATTTAAAATTAAATGCTTAACATTTATCCAAGCACGACTGCTGACATTATTAAGAAGTCAAGCAATATCGAGTAGCCCTTCTCGCGTTAGAATCAAAAGCTACATGTCATGCAGTGTAACACCTCTATAAATTACGAACAACTCTTCTCACCAAGGATTGGTTACTCCTCTCAGCAAGACAGGCGAAAACGTTACGTACCCTTGAAGTTTTATGGCGCCTGAAATATGGAGAACAAAATGCAAATCTCCGACGTATTCAACATTTACCATTAGGGCATGGTGAATGTTGACATTTGTCGGTGTAAGTCAGAAATAAGGATATTTGGTAAATATTTTGGACATGCACCAAGCAACTATGTGAATGTCGACATTCTCCAAATCTCGGTCTTTCACAGTAACACAGGAACTTACAACAATATTAATTCTAAGCACAGAGGTGGCCAACTTTTATATGTATATCACTTACCCATCACATTACGAACAAATTCTGGGACAGTAAATCCTTTTTTCTCTTTAGGCATTTCTGGAATGATAACTGGTTTATCCTAAATTGGAAAAAAAAAAAATTAATAAATACAAAATCAAGAAATATTCTTTATATATCTCTCTCTATGTAAATTCATCAAATATACATACTGAATAATATAAATATATATTAGTATCAAATTACATATATTTGAACTTAATAATTGAAGAACTCTATTATTAAAAGTTGGTATATATGATTACGGCAAAGCCTCGAGGGCTATCAGCCTAGATGAAGGGATGCCGTAGTGAAAGATGTTCCAACAAAAATGCCCATGCAGCCAGCCTGTTCGCAGGATTCGCACCTCGGACCAACTACCAGTATACGGGGACTTCACCACTTGACTGCTAGTGGGTCCACCATTACTGGAAAGTAGTACATTTTTTAAAATTTAAATAAAATATTATATTTTTATTTCAATACATATATACATGTGTGTGGGGGGGGGTAAAAATGTCTTACATCATGGTCTAAGTATTTTACTCTCATGGCAGTGCAGCTTAACTATTATTGAGAGTACAGAAAGAGATCTCGTCTTGAGAAGTGCAAGAAGCGAGTAAGGCATATGATGTTTCTGTAAGATAATAAGATGTCATTAATGTTATATATATCTTATAAATAGTTTATATGTTATTTAAATATGTATTGTGAATCATATTGTATGCAGGTTGTGTATTGTACGCCCATGGTAAAGTCCCATAATATTTGGGGGCTTAACAACAGATGGAATAACAGTTTCAGGAAATAGCAATTTTGGTTTCCCACTACTTCTATATTTGCATGGATTGCATTAAGAAATGATGGTTTGATTGATTTTATTCATCTGAACAGGATAAAATTCCATTTATATGGGACTAAATACTTCTGAAACGGGTAAGTCAACTTTAAATTTTGTTTTGCACTGCAATAGGAAGTTAACAGATATAAAAGAAAGGTTAGTCCATATTTTAGGGTACTCCTTGGATTATCATCAAGTTGTTGTTTCATTTATTGTAACCTCAATATTTTACGTTGTATATTTTGGAAACTGAATAATGACATGATTGGTTGTAATGCGTCATCTCAGTGATTTTGATTTCTCAAGGCTCATTTCTGCGTTGGATATCGCCTAGGAAATACGTTGCTTATTTTGGGCTGTACACCGTAAAATGGCTGCCTGTGATAAGATTAATTTGAAGTTTCTGTACGATTTGGAATGAATGGGAAAAGAGCACTAATTTTCTGGTGTGTAAAAGAAGATTTAAATGTCTTCGTTCACTTCTCGGTAAATTGTGCAGTGAGATTTAAGGATTTGGAAACCAGAGCTCATATCAACGCTATGGAAGATATGTGGGGTGTAATAAAAAGGGATTTTCAAAAGAAATGCCAATAGTCCAGCAGTGTGGAGGAGACTTGATTTTTACTTTTGTGAATTTATGTGGCGACGACAGTATATGATTCTAGTTTACGTAATTTTAAATAGTTTTTGGATGCTGTTAAGAAAATCTGTGTGTCACACATACCAAGGAAACAGAATTTTAATAAGGTAAGTTGATATTCCCTTTTTGCACTGCATAGATTAGATAACATGTACAGTCAAAAGTCGTTAATTCGGACCTCAAAGCTACAAACTTTCTGCGCATGCGTCACGTAATGCATGCAAACTTTCTACGTAAGCGCGTAAGACCTTTACGGCTCCGAATATGTGTGTGCGAGTGCGCAAAATACGTTTACAAATGTGCGTTTACTGTATAACGGACGGTATAAGCTAAGCTAAAATTATCTCATTCAGTTAATGTTGCAGATTGCGTTGTTCCTTAATCTTCGAATTGGATTCAGCTCATTATTTTTTGCAGACTGTTAGAGCAATTTTATAAAAGTAAGCTTGAACTTTCGATTATGTCAAATAGAATTTCTGATATATATTTACTAATATGTAAAGGATATACAAAGCGAAAGTATCTTTCGGAGTCCATTAAACCAAAAGTGGAATTGCTGCAAAAAATGGATAAAGGCATATCCTTTGATTATCTAAACTCTGTTTATCTTTAGCCGCGGTTCACAATGAATTGGAAGTTGATCTGTCAGCACTATCCTTATCTTCAGGGCAGATGATTTGATTTTATTTGGCTTATAATTCCTTACTAAATGTAGTATTTCATCTCGATGTACTCCGTCTTTGATATGATTTAAATCAAATTCCTCGTCATTATAAATCGCTTCCAATAGCAAAGAAAGTGACAGAGGTTATTGAAAACGAAAAAATTTCGATTGACGAATTAGTCGGTATTCTCGACACAGCAATTATAGGACTTGAACAGCGGAACTTTGTAACTGAACAAGAAATTATGTCTGTTTATGGAATTAAAGAGAATGTATTATTACATAAAAAACATACATTGAAAGAAATGTTTAATAAAGTAAATAAATAAATATTAAGCTTTTTTTTTTTTTTTTTAAATTTTGATACCCTTTAGATCATAATTGTTCTTTATTTCATAAATTACAGTTTCATATTTTTAATTTTATAATTTCTGCATGCCATCTTACCAGATTTAAACTGATGATCTATAATCCGGAAAAATCGATAATCTGGAATTGCCGAAGTCCCGACGAGTCCGCATTAATGACTTTTGACTGTATTTCCATTCTTATGTTATTTCCTTGTTTGACTTATAATGGAGTTTATTGAGATTATATATTTTTTGTTTTATTGCATCATGTTTTGGATGTCGTTTTACTCTGGAGGGCGTTGGACATGAATAGGAATGGTGGCAAAATATCACTAATTTTCGCTTGAAATACATTTTTACCAAAAGATATAAAAAGTAGGAAATGTTGTTACATAAATTTATATTCCATAATGAAGGAGAAGAATAGAATAGAAAGGAACTTAGATTTTGAATTTAAACTAGATAATAACTTTCAAAAACAAACTAAGTATGCTGAAACTAATTTTTCTTTAAATAAAGTACAGTCAAAAGTCGTTAATCTGGACTCGTCAGATTTTCAATTTTTCCGGATTACAGATCATCAGTTTAAATCTGGTAATATGGCATGCAGAAATTATAAAATTAAAAATATGAATTCATGAAATAAAGAACAATTATGATCTAAAGGGTATCAAAATTTACAAAAAAAAAAAAAAAAAAAGAAAAAGAAAAAGCTTAATATTTATTTGTTTACTTGGCTTTAGTGTAGAATTGGGTGCCGCTTCGATTGGCGACATTTTTAAAAAAGTTTTGGCGATGAAACCTGACTTCTGGTTACGACGAATAGTTTTAAATTTGTTTTAGCTTCCCGATTTTATTTAAATAAAAATAGATTGATGTGTACATGGACATATTTAAGGCAATGCACAATGCCTAGTTTGTGCAATTCTAGGATGTTTTTTTAAGTAAAAACAGATCGAGGTGTACATGGACACAGATCTTATGCAATTCTTCGACTTCTTATTTTGGTTTTGTGTAGCGGCCATCTTGAAATTGTGACTTCCTGGCGCTGATCTTGGCGTCAAGAAAGAATCGCCAATAAACAAGGGGCACCCAATTGTAAACTTTTACCGTTTACTTTATTAAACATTTCTTTCAATGTAAGTTGTTTAAGTTGCTTCGTTTTTTTATCTGATAATACATTCTCTTTAATTCTATAAACAGACATACAAAGTTCAGTTACAAAGTTCCGCTGTTCAAGTCCTATAATTGCTGTGTCGAGAATACTGACTAATTTGTCAATCGAAATTTTTTTGTTTTCAATAACCTCTGTCACTTTCTTGGTTTAATCCTAGTATCCGGTGCACAAGGGATTTGGCTACTTTTGGCGACTTTATGATGAGCAGTAAAAACGGGACATCGCGATGAGTAGTTAACGGATCATTCAAGGAAAATATATAGTTAAACATAGTATATACTATGCATATAGTATATATACTGTGTTATATACACACATAGTATATAGTGTACAGTATATATATAGACGTTCTTTGGATCATTTTTGGTGTTGGCGATAATTTTCAAAGTCGCGCCAAGGCTGCACCGTATACTAGGATTTTACTCACTTTCTTCGCTATCGGAAGCGAATTATAATGACGAGGAACGTGATTTGAATAAAGTACTAATAAAAACATTTTAGAAATTCACGGCAATTTGAAATACAGTTAATTAAAACAATGCACAGTAAATATCGAAAACAGTATAACAAAAAAGAAAAAAAAGGTAAGGGGAAAAAAAAAAGGAAGATATGTAAACACAGCAACATTTTCAAGATATCAAAAATGTAATTTACATACTGGATTTGCCATTAATCTTTCTAATTTTAATTTCTGAAAATCAATTGGAGTTTTTGGAACAAAAGGTTTCTGTTCTTTATCCATTGCTTGACTGCAATCAAAATAAATTTTTATATGAAAAAATGCAAAACGTATGTAAGACCACAAAGAACGTTGCAAGAGCAAATGCCTTGGGATCAACTCAAAAGTAAACACCGACTGACAGACAGACAAAGTAGACAGATGTCTTTTGTTGCACCCGCTAAGTCTTTCTGCACCGATGGGCGAAAAATCAAGCATAGGTGCCAAGGAAAGGTATATAGAAAGGGGGGCAATTTCGTATTTCAGAGGAGAGTGAAAAGGAACTTCGTATATTTTATACGAGTTCGAAAGGCCAGGAAGAAAAGATGGGACAAAATAAAATAAAAAATAAATGGCCCAAAAGTAATGGAGGAGAAAAAAAAAATTATTTATAATTAAAAAAAAAGGGCCTATAGAAAGAAAGGAAAGGAAGTAAGAGAATTTTGTTAAAAAAAAAAAAAAAACACAATTTTGTTCATGAGTGTAGTCAAAGTTGTTATCATTTACATTAAATACAGTCTTCCAGGTGTGTGTAATGAGTGTTTTGTAAACTGAATAGAGGTAAAGATGGGGAAATTAATAATAAAATAATAAATTTTGGGGTCCAGTCACATAACAGTATAAGTCAGTTTAGAAGCTAACTTTTGCTATAACAGGGAAACTAAAATTTAAAATTTTTTAAATTTAAACTTTTATTTTTTTACATGAACCAATATTAGCCTCTCTACCTTGAGACACAGTAACAGAACACATAAGATCAAGATACATATAATATCATGCAAAGTTATACATTAAACTAAGTAACATCATCTATTGCGGTTTCCAACATATTTATATATTCAGAAAACACCATCAGATAAAATCATAAATCCAAAACAAGGCGAGAACATATCAGCAAAAATAAATAAGTAAATAAATTACGGAGTTTTTTTATTATTATTATTAATTAATTTTTTTTTAAATAAGCATTTTATTTATTTATTAAGTTAATGGTTATAATTTATTATATGTGGTACTATTTTATCAATTTGAGGCACACTGTTTAATATATGCTTTTAATTTAAATAGATAGGAAATATAGATTAAAGGAGCAAAAACTACAACTCTGTACATTCATGAGGCCCGAGATCGTGTTTTTAGCTCTCGAGACATTCCTCAAAGGGCCCCAATGGGTAGGGCTAACACTACTGTAAGGCTACTGATAAGGATAGCGCCCTACGAGATAGTAACCAAAAAGAACCACATGATTTAAAGCAATTACTAAGTATTTATGCCAAACATAATAAAATGAGCATAATAATAATAATGATCATAATAAATGAATGAATTTAAAGGTACTTTAGTGACAGATATTTGATTTAGCTTAGAGAAAGAAGTTCTACTTATCTGAACGCTCCGTCTTAGTGCCAAAGATTGCAAGAGAAAGACCCCCCAGGTACAGGAGAACTCCCAGCTTGAGACGGGACAATGCAGAGGATATTTGCGAAAATTTTCTGAAATAAATGAAGATTTTCCGGAAAACACCTTTGAAAATTCAGGAGCTCTTCCAAGATCCTGCCTCCATCGTACGTGATCACAGCGCCCTCAGTAAACACCGACTATGCACATTCTTTTTTTTTTAGCGAAAGTACAGTTATAGTGTACTAGTAGTAGAGCTGGAGCAAATCGCATGTATTCGTTACCGAGTAACGGGTACATCGGTTGACTCGAAGTACCGATTCGGTACTCACAAATTCATTTCGTTACTCGCATCTGTCGTGTGATGCGGTTTATTCGAGTACGAATGATGCGGTTGCTATTCGAATACGTATGGTGCAGTTGCTATGCGAATACGAATGATGCGGTTGCTGTTCGAATACGAATGATACATTTGCTAACAATACCCGTGTGCCACACATAGACCTGTTATATACTAGACGGAGCATCGCCATTCAAAACCGGGTGAAAAAGTGGCACAGGAATGAGCTGCAGGAGTTTGGGCATGAAATGGAACTCAACCCAGACTTTCGCGTACTATCGCCATGGCTGGCGATTTTTTTCCCTTGTTTTCTCTCAGTTCGAAATGCGAACTTAGAAAGACGTCATTTCGCATAGGCTGCCGTTGAATTGCGGAATAGGTTAGAGATCGATAAACCCAGCAAAATAATAATTTCCTAAAAAATTGAACACTCTATTTTAAAATTTAACTTATTTTAAATTTTAATTTTTAAAATTTAAATAATTTCATGCTGTAGAATAATATTTTGCAATATGTCCATCGGCGTCTACAAATTTTAATAAAAATAAAAAAAAAAACTGGAGAGAACAAACTAAAATAATAAAAAATAATATACAACAGCAAACTAAAAAATAAATAAGTAAAATAATAAATAAAAAAGAAGGTTTTTAGTACTTAGGACAGAATAAATAAAAAAATAGATAACAAAAAGAATGATTGAAAACAGAAAATAGTACAAAAAGGAAATTTAATGTTAATACGAAAAGGAAATTTAACGTTAACACGTGTATTACAGAGAACTACAGAGTAGGCAAATCAACGTGAGAAAGGCATTAAATTAAATGAACTAAAAATGAATGTCAATATAACAGATACAAGTTAAAAGGAAGAGAGAGAGGTAAATTAATGAAACAAAAAAGTGATAAATTAAGACTTTTACTAGCAAATATATATATATATAAAAATAAGTATATTACGCACGTTGCACAATGTAGTCGCACTGATTTTAAATAATTTTAGAAGATAAAATTTAAATAATGTTCATTATTTTTAAAAAGAAACTTAAAATGATTAAAGTTTTGAAATTTAACTGCTATATAATGACTATTATCTTAATACTTAACAAATTCTTAATATTAAAATAAATGACAGAAACATGATATAAGAAAGAAAATACGTGATTGAAGGTAAACAAATTTGTTTATTTGGATGCAAAAAGGGGATAAAATAAAGTCATTCATATCCCCCAAAAAACATAATTTATGCAGTTCTTACACAGTGTACATCAACGTTACCAGTATTAAATACTACTTCGCACATGTCCGCATGAGCAAACGCATACAAGAATATATAAACAAACGTATTCAAACAGTCTGTTGGCGTAAAAAATTCGCCAAAGCAAATACTAGACTAATTAAATTATATTGTATTAACTAAAATTTTAACATTTTTTCAGAAACAGTATTAGAACATACTATATATTAAGATACTTTTATTTAAATGTTATTTCAAGTATGCATATATTATATAAAATTAGAAATCTCTTTTTTATTAGAAAAAGGCAAGTAGAGTGGATAAAAAAACCTCTATATTTTATAAATTAGGTTTTAAAACATTAGAAAAGCTCAGTTGTGAAATGTTACTCCTCCATCTTTCACATATCTGGAATTACATCCATATGCGGAGCACGAAAGTATCATTTTTGAAGTCCGAACAATGCGCTACACGCAAACACTTGCTTCTCACAAATTCTCCATAGAACTGTAATGGTAAGGAAGATTCGCGGGAAATAGATGTGGGAAATGTTCCAAACGTCACGTGGTTCGCATTCCTGTTCCCCTTGAGGTTGCCGTTTCTCTCTCTAGTACATTACAAGCTCTATGGTGCCACATTTTTCATTGATAATTTCGAATTTTTTTGGTTAACTCATCGGCAAACTCTTTTTACATTATGTGTTTTTTAGTTGAAATATTGTTTAGTTGTTGATATTTAAGAAAAATGATCATTTTGATAGCGTGAAGCGTTATTTTGTATTTGCTTTTCACATTTAGATTATAGTGCATATTATGTTTGTAATTTGAAATTTAGATGATTATTGATTTTATTCTTGGCCATTGGGAGATTTTTATTGAGTTTGAAAATTTATATACTGCACTTAGTATGTTTATAAGATATGTAGTTTATAATTCTTTACTTCTTACATAAAAGAGTTAATCGAGAAAATTTTGGTATCATTTTCAACGAAATATCATTTTTGCGATTAGAATCCATCTGATTATTTTTTTGATCCTTAAACGCATTTTTTTTTTTTTTTTTTTTTTGTTTTGTTTTCAAACGGTTTTTAACCTTCCTAGTGGCCGAGACCCTCAACTAAAATCTCTTCATCTCAAGTCTTGAAAAGAAACCAGATTCTACTATTTCTTCTGCCCATTCTGTATCCAGATTAAAGCTAAAAGCGGCAGACGTTTCGCTGTCTTTAGTTGCTTTCCCCCCACTCAAATGACCGTCGTTCAGCGGGGCGTATTGACGTGTCCATGTCCTTTTGTCCAGCAGGCTCCCGTTATGGCAAGAAAGATTTAATTGAATGTATACCAGATTTTAGTGGTTATCGCCGTGTTGGCTGCGTAACTAAGCAGATTTTAAACAGCGTACGTACTTTATGAATATGTGTTTGAAATTGATATTGCTTTGCGTTTTTAGTTTTTTTATTTGGAAAATTATTTACTTTTATTTCTCCGTGTTTTACTAAAATATTTCACAAAATCTGCATAAAAATTGTAGTCATTCCTCACGCAAAAATTTATAGAAAATTACGTTTTGATTCCACCATAACTTTGTACCATTACTCATTTGTATTACGTAGCAAGAAGAAGAATAGAACTAATAATTAGGCCCAGAGAAAAGATACGGTCATCAAAATTTTCTACTCATCGCATTATACAAATAAAAACGTACACAATTTATGTACTAAATAAAATGCATTACGTTAGCCTATAGTTTAATAAACAACTAATTTTACTTATTTTATCTTTTAATTACTTCAATTTATATTCTAATCAATAATCTTTTCTGAATGACGTTAACATGAATATTTTCCAACGACATTGACTTGAATTATTACTAAATCTATTTGAGATGAATTTGAATTTCAAAAATGTTTCTTTACATGGTAACTTTGAACGTTGATCACAACGAATTTATATGATAGAATATTAAATTAAAATTTTTCCTATACCATTCAGTTTTTACAAGTTCTGCATTTTTCTTTTTTTCCTACCAAAATCTTAACTTTAATTCTCAGCTTCCTATTCATCGTTATTATAAATACTTTTTTTAGATAAAAATAAAAATATTCTTTGCTACATTAAGACCCTCAATGCCTTGCCTCCCTCCCCCCGTCGCTGGAGAGATTTGCGGAAAGAAAACTGTGTCATG